AGGAGTAACTACCTTTCCAAGGAAACAAGAGTTAAATTGCCTTCTAAGATTCTACTGTGTCAGAAACAGAAAACAAAACAAGCCGTATTTCAGTATTACTCAGAACCAGGTTTGATCTGAAAATGTACACTTCCTATTATTGTTTTCAAAAAACCTAAAAATCTCTAGGGAAAGCCCACCACTTCCAAAAAGAAAGCAAAGCAGCAAAACATTTCATCAGAAGAATAGCTAGTTTTTCCACTCAGCTTGCTGTGCATAAAGGGACATTGACCACCCAGGAAAGACAAGATCTCTAAGCAGCAGGCTTAGTGTCTGGAAAGGCACTACAAGCTTGCCATTACAGCTCCATCTTACTTGCTGCAAGTTTAAATTTGATCGATCACATTTCTGAAGAGCAAGTTCAGGTTCTGTAATTTATACCAGTGGTTTCACCCTGCTGTTTTTTGTTTCTATTAAAGTCATTTTTTAGTGTTATTATTTTCTTAAATAGGGTTTCCTCAGCTCCTTCACACAACGTTCCATGTTCAGCTCACTATTTTGGAAACCACTTTCTAGGATGCATGTTTTTGCAAAGCATATCTCAAGAAGCGTTTCAGCAAAGGGACATTTAACATGTGAGAAGGCAGCTCCGTCAGAGGTTGGGAATGCAGCTGCCTGGCCAAAACCTTCCACTGCAGCAGGAATGGGTCAGAGGAAACCTCCTGCTGCCAGAAACTCTGCATGCTGTCCCTCACCACTGTGATCCACTCACAGTCTTTTCACTCAGCTTCTAGTCCAAGCTTCAAGTCTATTTATTTCTATTCCTGTTTCTCGCAGCGTCTACATTCTCCATTTTCAGAATCACTGGTTTAACAGAATTCTCAGTCTGTCTACAAAAAAATCCAGCGGAGCTGACTTGGAAAATAAAGACTACGACCTCAACAGATTTGAACTGGACTGAAATCATCTTCATTTGGAACACTGAGCACCAAGGGGGTAGCTATGAGCATCAGTCACATCTGATGTGATCCAAGTTTGAACCAAGTGATCAGGCACTCAGTAACGTGAGATAAGACACCCGAAAGAAGATGGTGAGAAAGCTACGAAACCAGGAACTCAAACTGAGGTAACCAACCTAACTTGAAGGTGTTTATTATATGCACCAAGCATATTCTTTGGAGGGACAAGTAAATCCATGAAATCTAGCTACTTTTAAAGGAAGCTAAGTGGTATTTCTGAAGAAATTAGAAGACTACTTATAGTACAGGTAAGCTTCATCCTAGAAGTTCATATGCCAAACTGCAAAAAACACAAGCATGATCGTGCAGAAATTAGGCTGAGTGGGCAACACTGATTTTGTGTATCATGTTATTCAGCAAGCTCTTTTTTCAGCTGAATAAGGAAACTGAATTAAAAAGTAAGAGGACTGTTGCCAGTGTTTCCAATACCCACAAGAAGACTAAAAGCTTTCCAGTTATTTTGTTTATTTTTTTAAACCACGCAAGGCCAAGATGAATTGTATTACTGAATCATGAAATAGGTCGTCATCTATCTCCTCTCACCACAGCAGACTCCCGGCATGGTACACAAGCTAATGGTTTAATTACAGAGCCTCAGGAAATGAAAAAGGCAATAAGGCAGACGATCACAGCAGGAACACATTAATGGTCTTTTTATCTTACAGAATAAAATTTGTTTATCTGCTATTTCAGAAGTCCAATGTGGCAATTAACTCTTCTGTTTGCAAACTGACACTAACGCTTTGTGCTGCAGCTATAATTAGTTACCATCAGCATGGCACCGGAGCAACTCTGGATGGTGGAGTCAGCCTAAGCAGCCAGTTTCGGAGAAAATCCCTTTTTCAGGCCCCCTGCTTCACCAAGAGCCAACTCCTTAGGTCACGTGGAACCTTTCAGCTCTCCACAAGTTAAAGTTTCTGCATTAAATGGAGCTTGGAAGGGTTATTTTACAAAATCACCATCTCCTATACCATTGCTACAGAGAAAGGTTACATACATAACTGAGAAATGTGGAAAGGATGGAACAAGTTGAAGGTGGTATTTTCCTACTGCAGCATCTGAAAACTATCCGGGATCAAAGCAGTAACCACATTAATGTGGATTAATGGCCATAATTTCCTTCAGAATGGAAGGCTGAGAAAAAGGCTTGAGAATATTCATGTTTTTAAAATACACTCTACTAATTGTTGACTTGGTTAATGGAGATAAATACACACATTATTTTTTTATTTCAATTAAGAAATTCCAGAAATTTTAATGTGCTTCATCTTAAGACATAATATTTATACCAGTTTTCTACCGTAGCAAGCAAATGGAATAAGAAGTAATTACATGCCATAAATGGATGCAAGATT